ATATATAATTTATTAGTTTAATTAATATAAAATACGTAGCAATTAAACAAGATATTTTTATATGATAGATAAATTAATCTGTAAATGTAATTAATAATCATAAGGGAAGGATTCTGTTTATTAATTTTTCTTTAAATCTTTTTCCATATCTATTAGGTTCCTAAGCCGAAGTGTCTAAATGTAAATTCAATTAAATAATCTTTTTAGTTTTTCTTTCAAGCGATTTATTAACATTCCATTGTTACAAGTAATCAATTATACCTATGTGGTAATAAATCTAATAAATATTATATCAATTTTTACCCCTTATTCTTTAATTGAAGGATTAAAATTAATTTATTAGCCTCCAAAATGATTAAAAAATTATTATTTTTTCTCTTTCCAATCTATTATCATAACCAACAAAGAATAATCAATTAATTTTTATTTTTCTAAAAAATCGGTGTCTTTAATTAAATTCTAATTCAATTCTTGGTTTAATTAAATAAAATTACTCTTGATAATGGATTAATCAACCCAAATTTATTTTTCTATTTTAAAAAAGTCCAAATCTTTAAGTGTCAATTTTGACAAATCACTTTCAGATTTTTTAGCAAGAACTTCACGATCATATTCAGACCCTTTTAAATCATAGGTTCTTAATATTTGATTTTTAGGTACACCTAAAGATAAATTCTTCATTATTAAAAAATGAACTTTTGCTTCAGATTTTTCAAGTCTTTCAAAAGTATACATTCCATATATTTTATTTAATAAAGATTCTGGATTATTAGCTTAATAAGTAGCAAAGTTTAATAAACGCTTTTTATAAGTATTTACTTCTTATTATCTCATTGTTTTCATAATCAATTAATTGTTATGAGAAAAAAAAAAGAATTCACCACTTTTTCCACCATCTGGACCTGTGAAATTATCAATTTACTATAAATTCTTATTAACATCAAAAGAATCTTCTAGATCAATATTATCTAATGTTACAAAATAGTTAAAAATCTTTGGAGCATATAAAATACATCTCATTTAAAAAACTTAAATATTTTGAGTATCATTAAATTAGGATTTGATTAGATCATTATTCAGATTGATAACCAAACATTCTTAAACTTCTTCAGGAGTAAAAGGTTAATGAGCAATTTCGATTAAATCACTTAGATCTCCTGAACTGGATTCTTCAGTATCATCTTAATCATCATTTATTTCTAAATCTTTATAGATAATTGTATTATCTTAATTCTATTTTATAAGCATTTAAATTCCTGCTAACATCGAAATAACTTGAGTTTTTTTCATTTCTTTTTACAACTATTCTAAAAGATTAAATTCTAAAAAAAAATGTAAAAGATTTTTTACATTACATAGAAATTTCAGTTTATGTTACATTTGGCGAATCCATCTCGGACTGGCTTTCAGATGTTTATGAATGTTTCAACTTGGGTATTAGTAGTGGATCTCTTGTGATGATGATAACCTAGCCTAAAATACAAAGTGCTTAGGTAACATTTTAACAGGTTTCTGAGGCTAAAAGATAACTCTTATAAAAGATATAACAATTGAGTAAATTAATAGCACTGAAAATTCCAAGAAAAAATTTCATTACAAGGCTGAAAATAATGAATTTTTAATAATATCTCAAGTATTAGCCTCTTAATTATCGAATAGATGACATTTTAGGAACTAACTTTTTGAATGCAAAGACATAAATTATTGACATTGTTGCAAATAAAAGGAAAACAACTAAATAAATTGTAGCTATGATATAATCCCAAAAAGATTGATGGGTAGCTGAGATAGCACACATTCTAATATATCTAAAATTCTTATATACCCATTTAATGTGATTGAAATTATATTATCATCAAATATAAAGGCTAAAATAACTAGGATGATTATTAGAGTTGTGAGAGAGTAATTAGATATTCTGACAAATTTGACTGTTTTCTCTAATGTATTATAAACTAAAGCAAGAGGGTAGGCAGAGAATATAAAAATATTTAAATTCGATATCACAAACACAATCGATGTAGCTATCCCTGTAATCTATTTTATTTTAATAATTACATCACAGAACAAATTTGCTGGAGCTTAATCTTCTATAAATACATACAATGCTGTAGAAAATTGAATTAATGACTAGATAGCATTTGTTACTGTTATCACAAAAATAACATCTCCAGGACCTCCAAATAGTCTAAAATCTTTAAAGAACTCATAGATAATTCTGATGGATATTATAAATGTAACAGGGGCTTGGAATTATCATTCAACTTATACATAATAAGACAAAGGTCCAACAATCTATTGGAAACAACTTTAACTTTTAAGAGTTTATTTGTTCCGATTCTTCACCATAATTGTCGTCTTTACAATTAAATATTTAACTCTCATCGTACATTTAAGCTTTTAAATCAATGTTTAAAAGAAGTAGGATTATAATGCAGAATAGATTCATCATCAAAATATAAATTTTATATTACAATATTTTATTTCTATTGTGCTACATCGAATGTTAAAACTTAATATGATATTTCTGTTTATAACTTGAAGTTATTTTAATGAATTTAAATAGCCTTAATCTAGTTATATCAGAATCTTAGAGGATTATTTTGTATTTAAAAAACAGTTTGAATCAAAATGATATATAGAAATGAAATTGACATATTAAATTAAAATATTTTAAATTGACAAATATATTACTTAATAATTTTTTAATACAAAAAACCAACTTGAACTTAGATGGACTAATTTTATGAAAACCATCAAGGTGTAAATGATTTTTTTTATTATTTAATATATTCAATAATGAGGCTAATTAATATTAATCATTTTGATGTTCTGTAAAAAAATAGATAGATAGAAAAAATACTGAGGGATCATATGATTATAATGAAGGGTTATATTAAGAAAAAATTAATGGAAAAATGCACTAGTACTATACTATGAATCTGAATGCAGAATTATTTCATACAATGAAATTGTTAATGAAATAACATAAAAAATTTAATTATTTCTTGCAGATCAAAATGTAAATTTGTCAAAACATTCTTAATTTTTGTATCAATAAATAACCATTGTAGGAATGATTGAAATAATAATAATAATAATAATTATGTGATAAAATATTCACTATGGACTCTAAGTTTTTGGTTTGTACTTTTCACAATGTTCTTTGATTACTTTTTGAATAATATTGGCAATGTCCTTCATTTGTTTTGTCATTGCCTTTTACACATCTTTATCCAAAGGTCCATTTGTATTATTTGTATAAGTTATAATATTTTGCAATCGATGGGGGAGATCTTAATGAAAAGATTCCAAATGTTCAGTTAAATGATCTAGATTCATTAATTTTCCATGGGTTTTGCATGTTCTCCATTAATGTTTCCATATTTCAAAATAACCATAGCCAGGTATTCTTCTAATAAGATTGTAGCAAGTTCTTCTTAAGACCGGTTCATTCCATTCCTCCTCTGTATCCAATCCTCCGACTTTGTGTTGGATACGATTAATAAATTATTCTATTTCTTCTTGTTCAATATAGTACTCGGGGTACTTATTGATGAATTCATCCCATAATTCTTAACCATTTATCTGTAAAATATCATTCATAGTATAATCATATTCCGGGTTGATAAGACCTTTATTAAACTAGTAAAAGTAAACTAATAGTTAGGTATCTTAGAGGAGTCTTCTGTTTTAAAGAGTGTTAACTTTCATCCAAGCCTCCTCCACATAAATAAATTTCCTAAATAGGTCATATTCCATTTATTTTTTAAAAAAACCATGATGATTAATGTCAACTTCAAGAAGACCAATTATCTTATCAA